TTAGAGACTTGTTCTCTCTTGTTTCAACAGATACCCAAGTGCTTGATAAGTTACCTTCAGACCCAGGCTGCATCGTTACAGAGTCTCAAACGCGACCTTGAAAGCACTAAAAAGCAGTTGCAACAAGCTACAAGTGGTAAGTATAAAACGTTTAACAAATTACCTTTACTGTATCCCTGAAATATAAAAACGACCTTCACAAAGTCTGCTTAATTAGCGGTGTACAATAAACTGAATTTCTTTCGTTTCATAGATAGTGTAACCTGCAGCTTGCCGTAGTGGGCTGGCCGACCTTTGCAACTAAAACAACTAATGTCTTTTCTTTTTTTCTCAGGTCAATGGCCTCCTGGGCATTACTGTATTCTGGCTAGTGGAGTTTGTCCAGCCGGATTCACTCGTTCCCAGGGCCATTTGCGTGCTTTGAGCCAATTCGCCGCCAGTGCCTCCTACATCACCCCGGTCAAATTCGGAGATAGTAGGATCCAGTGTCATGGACGCTGCGGTCAGTATGGTCAGTGGATCGGCGACCTATACATGGCGGCCTGTTGCAAGTGATGGACGCAACACGAGAATCGTTCCAACCAAAAGCACTGCAATTAAAAACTTTTGAAGTTAGGAAACTAGGGAGCTCATTTGCCAAGCAAAGTATTAAAAACATGGCTAAGTGTGGTATCAGTGATATTATAATGAGGGCACAATAAAACGATCTTGTTCAAAATACTCTTATTATTTGCTGAGCATCCATTGTCAAATTCCAAGTAATTTTTGTGTCTTTTTGCTTKTGGTTAAAAATGCCCCGCACTGACGTCCAATGCAAAAATTGACTCGCCTTACCCCTTCCAACCTTAAACGTCCAGTGGAATAGCTGGAGTTTAGTTGAATCTTATGCGCGCTGCTTATTGGGTCACGTGGCAATGGCTAAATCTAAACGTCGCCCGGAAGGCGATACAACAAGCAATAAATTGTTGCCCGCTCTCCCACTAACCAGAGGTTACTTTAACTTCCTCTTCCCTTATTACTTTACACTAAACTCCAGCTATATAACAAAACACTGTATACACTATATAACAAAGCACTATATAACAAAACACTGATCCCTGGTGGTAGGCCTAGACAGATTAATTTTGTTCGGCAACTTTTGAGCAACTTTTACGATTTTGAGCAACTTTTCGGAGAGTGAGGAACTTTACAGTATCTTTTCTAAAAGCTAGCTTTTTTTGGCATATTT